CCCGCCCCCTGCCGCCGCAGCACCAGCCCCTGTCTGGGGGTCCAAGCTTCCCATGGACAGAGGCTGCTCCATGGCAGGGACTGCTGCAGAGCAGCCTCAGTACGTGGGGAGCTTGAACACCCCGCGGACAGGGGCTGTAGCCATCCCACACTGCTGCCTCTGATACAGACGCAGCAGCGCGGGGCAGCTGGCAGCTAGTCTGTGTGGGGAGACAGTTTTTTAAACTGGCTCTCCTTGTGGACTGGTCCTGCCTGCCACCTCACACTTCTGCTTCTGATAGAGGTGTAGTGGTGCAGGGTAGCAAGGGGCTCCCCAGGATTGGAGCCAGGAGTGCATTGGCTGCCGTCCCTGCCCCAGGGGATTATCGAATATTCGTGTAACTGCATGAAATCTTAGCAGTTACACGAATATTCAATTACATCATATCTAACATCCTGAGTAAAAACTGGATGATGAAAAAATCCAAGGGGAAAAACCTGTTATAAATAGTCTTTCAGTAGTTCTTGTTTTGAAATCCCTTTAAATGCTGGCCTAAGAATGCAGTCTTGTTCAGAGAATAAATAAAAGGTTTCCTCAGACAAGCTATAGTCTTTTACAAACTGTTTTAGTTGTGTATATAATAAACATTCAAAAACCTTTATTATGGATGCCTTTCTGTATTATGTCCTTTCTGTAGACTGACCGTAAGATTTCCAGGATGGCATGAAGACCTGATATCATTCATCCCACAGAAGCAGAATGGGTTTTGTAAAATCACTCAAAAGATGTTTCTATTTAGCAGCCAGTGCCATTGATGGGCAACATGAAACCATTAAAGGAAGCATGTTATACTCCCTGGAAGCACAGGGGATCTTTTTTCAAGGGAAAAGGCAATGCAGCACATTTATTGAAAATAAAAATATATGTGTCCATTCACACACATAGGTACACAAGTCCCATAGATGATCTCATAGTTACCAGTATGGCCAGTTAGATTGAGCACGGGTGGGGATCTGGGTTCTGTCAGAGGCAAATCAATACTCTAAAGTTTTTGCAGAAGGACCCCAAACACCATGGCAATATATATTACTTTTATCGGTGTAAATTCCGTTTTAAGTCTGGGTTTTGTCCAAGTGGCAGTTATCACAAAATTGTTCCCTCCACCATCATTCTTCAGCATTTTGATGATTATTACTGAGAGTCACAACGTCTGGTTTCCCCTTTTATCTGTTATCTTGTTCTCCGGGGAATATACCTATACTTTAGAGCAGTGTTTCTTAAATTGTGTTCCGTGGCACGCTAGTGTGCCGTGAGGCAATTGGAGATGTTCCACGGAGAACAACAGAACTCAAAATGGCTGCCCTTAAAGGGGCAGATGACCTTTTTTTCTCAATAACTTCCCCCCAACTTTTTTTTTGTTTCTCTCTCTCAACAAAAAATCCTTGGTGTTCCTCATGAAAAAAAATGTGTTTGGTTTTCCTCGGTCTTAATAAAAAGTTTAAGAAACACTGCTATAGGGTCATTAGTCTGCCCTTCTTCAACCAACTTTACTGTGCCCTAATAGTCCAACTGTTATCTATCTCTCAGTCTCTTCCTCCTTCTTAACCATCTGGCCCCATGGTATTAGCATCTTCCATCTCTTATCTATTAGCATACTGTACATTCCTCACTCATACACAGAACAAGAAGTAATTGAAGAGATTACAGAAGCAAAAGTAGTCTGTTACAAAGTAAAGACAATCTTATTAAAACAATCACTTCTTTAACATAAAAAATGTATACAGTTTACATAATTGTCTTTGGGGCCTATAAGTACACAACTTCAACAGGTTATATATACAGTTTACAGCCCTTGGTGGGCAACATGTAACCATTAAAGGAAGCATGTTATACTTATTAGAAGCACCTTAGGTCTTTTTCAACAGAAAAGACAATATGCTTTGAAAGTTAAACCATCAAAGGAAGCTGATCTACCACTCATTGAGAATTACAGGAGGTCATCTCCCTGGACAGGACCTGTGCCCCTTCTCTCTCCAGACAAGAATTTTAGCCACAGTCCGCTGCGGTTCACATTGGTATCCCTAGCAGACTAATTTGACTATGGGCAGTAACTAAACTCTGGTTTCTCTCCAAGGACTGTGAACAGTTATAAGTTCTCACAAAGCTCTCTATTCAGGATATAAAGCATACAGAAAATAAATGTAAAAAATAGTAAAAGAATTTACTTTCTCACTAAACATACCAGAAATTGCCCAAGGCCTTGGTAAGTTAAGAGAGAGTCCAACACTTCAGCAAGGGCTTGGCACCCCCCTGGATTCAAGGTCACGTCAGTTGGAAATAATGCCCTGAGTTTCTACATGCAACTGTTATAGCCCAAGTTCTTCCTTTGTACTGCTTCTTGGACTGCCCTAAACCGATATCTCTCCCCACTGTTATTACTTCCTGGGGGAGCTATACTAACCCTCTCCCCCTGGATTTGTCCACAATTGTTGGTCCAAATATTATGAATATTCATAAACGCAATACAACAAGATCCTCAAATATACTGCATGGCTGCAGTGTCTATCATAATTACTGCTTCTGTGGAATGTTTCAGTTTCTTTCCTGCAGGTATTATAATTCATTTATTAACAATACAATATTTATTATATTCAACTTGCAGAAAAATGGCTACTTTAACGAAGACTGAGTATTTTTTAAAGTATTTAATATTTCCATTCACAGTGTCTGAGCAACACCCCTCCACTAACAGAATATTTCCTAAATGACAAATATCAGGACGAGCTGAATTTTGACAATCCTTTAGGAATGCGAGGTGAAATAGCAAAATCTTATGCAGACCTCATCAAGCAAATGTGGTCAGGAAAATACAGCTATGTCACACCGAGAGCATTTAAGGTTGGTGCTACTGAAATTATAATTTGACCTTCAGTGTATACGGTGAATTTGTTTTCACAACTTAAGTATATACAACTTATAAAATCTGTAACAAATAATTTTAAAAATTGGGTTTTGAAAATGAGCTAGCAGTCTGTTCAGTTCAGTGCCTCATAATAATATAGAGCAAGAAAGTGTGTGTGGTAATATCTTCTTTTGGACCAAATTCTCTTGGTGAAAACCAAGTTTTGAAAGTTCTCCTTCTTATGAACGCAAGTTAGTCCAATATTATCTGACTTGACTGGTCTCTCTAATAATCTGGGACCAACATAGCTACAACAGCTCTGTATACATTATAACAATTTTTCAGTTAACTACTTAATTTCTTAAACAAAATACTGAAAACACCCTAGTTATTCTTTTTGTTGTAATTTGTATTCATTATTTATTTTAATTCTGAATATACTCTAGCTTCATTTCTGTAGTGTCACATCTTTCCCTTGATTAATTTGAGGACTATTTATCTTGAATTTAATATGCCCTTATTTTTCTGGACTCTTTTACAAGAAAAAGACTTTTTCTCTTCTCTATTTTAATAATTTGGAAACTTAAAACCATTTTTGGTGTATTTCCTGTATTATGCTAATCTTTAAAAATTAATGTGACCTCTTTATAGTATTTTAAATGACACAGCTGATTCATTATACTATGCTGTAATTTCCTCTTTATTTGATACTGTATTATTATATCTCAGATTTTCATTAGATTTTGATTATTGTTAATAAACATGCTAATGTTTTTAATTGTTGTTAATCCCGATTGCCTTCTAGTCAGTTACTTCTGTTCTGTATATTTTTCCGCTTCCATATTTTTCCTTTCATTAATATTTTTACCTTATTCTCCTCTAACAATGTTTTTTGTCTCTTACATATATCTCTAAATTATAGTATTTTCTATTCTGTTTACATTAGTGGGGGATTGAGAGAGGGTTTTTCCCCCATTTATACTTCACTAGATTACCTCCCACATACTGGTGATTACTATCCTCAGCAGTAGTAGGTCTGCATTGTAGGGCCCTTTCACCACCCAGAAAGCAAATAATGTTTACCCAGGAATAGAAGCATTAAACTGTGGCCAAGCTTCATTAGTGCCTTGCCGACAGAGATTGAGGGGAGGAGGTACTGAATCATTGCATCGTCTTATTTCCTCCTTCCATTATGGATATGACCTTCCCTTGCCATACCCCACTTTCCTACTTTTGGGGTTGCGTTGTGGCTCAAGCGTTCCTCATTTAGCATTTGTTTGCCAGGCTCAAATTATTTCTGAAAGAAATATCAGAGACCATTCTTCCTCATTCAGCCAGTTTGAAGAGTTGTAATCTACTTCTCTTCTACTGACATAGCAGCCTGTATTCCCATTTTATGTTATATTGTTTACTACCATACAGTATCTGTCTGCCTCACAAAGATGTGCTAGACTATTCATTTTTAAGTTTTTCCAGTTACAGACTAACTTGGCTATGTCTCTGAAGCTTTTAAACATTTCAGAATTTATCCTTATAGTGCACCCCTTTCCAGATCGGGACGTTGAGTCTCCGGGTATGTCTACGCAACAAAGTTATCTCGAAATAACAGCTGTTATTTCGAAATAACTTTACCAGCGTCTACACAGCCGAACTGCTATTTCGAAATTAAATCAAAATAGTGGAGTGCTTATTTCGAATTTGGTAAACCTCATTCCATGAGGAATAACGCCAAATTCGAAATAGCTATTTCGAAATAAGTGCTGTGTAGAAACTTATATCTAAATAGGAGGCCTCTAGCCTTCGCAGGGTGCCCTGGAGGCCACTCCAGCCTCAACCAAGCACACTCCTCCCCCTCCCTGTTCCCTGGAGCCCTTAAAGGGGTTTACACTGGCCACAGTGCCTGTGCCAGCTCCAAACCTGCCATCCCAGAACCAGGAGTCACTGCCCCTGGCCCAGTGCCCCCAAAATATGAGCCAGCAAGCCACCGGGAGCCAGCCCTCCACCGCTCCCCAGGAGAAGTCTGCTAGCTCCCAGAAGCCTCCCAGGGGCTGGGAAAAGTGGGCACCTTCCTCATCCAGTACAGAGATCATGGGGCCTTCCTGGTCCAGGGTCGACATCATGGACCTTATTCAGTTTTGGGGGAGATGCCCCCAATGTCCATGATCTCCGCACTAGACAGAGGAACGTGGCCGTCTATGGCAGGATAGCTGCCAGCCTGGCCTCCAAAGGCCACATGCAAACCCAGGAGCAGATTCTCATGAAAATCAAATTGGTCTGGCGAGACTCTGAGCCCTGAACTTTCCCTCCCCCTTCTTCCCCTTGCTTCCCCCTTTCAGCTCCCTCCTTCCAGGTTTCCCCCTCCCGTTTCCCACCCTCTCTTCTCTCCTCTACCACCTCCTTTCCCCAGTCTAACCAGAGTTTCATTTTGCCCCCTTCCCACCCCACCAGTTTTGTTAAAGAAAGAAAGTTTGTGTTCATGAAAATACATGTATTTTATTAGACATCAGGAAAGGGAGTTAGGGAGGGGTAAGCAGAAGGACGTGAGGGAGGAATGAGGCACAAGCCCTCAGTGGGGCAGACCAGGGAGGCTCTTAGTGCTCCTCAGGATGGAAGCTCTCCCGCAGGGCCTCCTGCATACTGACCGCCCCCCTATGGACCTCCTGGATGGCAGCCTGCAGAAAGTGCAGCCAGGCTCGCAGCAATGCATCCACGAGAAGCACCAGAGTGCCCCGGGGAAGCGCTGGCTCCATGTTGCAGAGTGCTGTGGTGTCCTGAGTGAGGGCAACCAGAGTACACAGAGACAAAATACTTTGCTGTCCCTCATTGAATGAGGCAAGCAAGCAGGGAAAGCTGAGAATGGGCTGTCTGGGGGGTGTCCCTTTAAGCATAGGCCTCAGCCTCAGGCAGCAGCCACACAAAGTGACTCCTGACCTGATGCCCTGCCAGACCTGGTTCTGGCCGGCCTTAAATGTGATTCAGGGTCCACTCAGTGTGGATGTGCTATTTCAAAATAGAGAAACGCTATTTCGAAATGCATTTTGTGTGTAGACGTGTCATTTCAGAATAATGCTGTAGTGTAGACATACCCTCAGAGAGATGTTAAGTGACTAGTCCAAAGAATAATAGTCTGTAGTACAGTTGAGAATAGAACTCAGACCTCCTGAGTGCCATTGTGTTTAACTATATAAACGTCCTTCCTTTCCAGGAGTTCCTCCCATAGCTCCTATTCAAGCATGTTCAGCTAGGTAATATTACTTGTTATAGCCACTGGGTGGCAGCCATTCCTGAAAACACGAGGTACCAGATGCAAGTACTACTGTCTACATATCGTGTCACAACAGTAGCCCGTTGCTTTTTTATTTGTTTACACAAAACCAAATGGTAAATTTTCCCAAATTGAAAATTCTCATATGTCCTCTACAGACACAAGTGGGACGATTTGCACCTCAGTTTTCTGGATATCAGCAACAAGACTGTCAAGAACTTCTAGCTTTTCTCTTAGATGGTTTACATGAGGATTTGAATCGGATTAGGAAAAAGCCTTATATTCAATTAAAGGATGCAGAGGGGAGGCCAGATAAGGTAATGTTCCTACTATTGATTTTCTTTTGTTTTAGTTCATTACTTAATACTTTAGTAGGTTGTAATATATTGTTGCCCCTTTATCAAGCATTAACATTTTGTGGGGCTGCTTCGTGGGTTATCTTTTCAGTGAAAGTGCATTTAGTGATACAGTAAAACCTGTGTTATCCAGCACGCTCGGGGATTAGGGCGTGCTGGTAACCTAAAAATTCTGGTTAACTGAGGAGGAGCAAGGGAGCCAGGATGTGGCCTGCTGGGGGGGAAGCAGCCTGGTGGGGGGATGGGGTGTAAACTCGGGGGTAAGAGGGCAGAGATGGAGGGGGCGGCCTGCCCCGGAGGAGGAGGGAGGCTGGCCTGCCGGGGGTGCCAGGAGCTGCGGGGGGAGCCAAGATGCTTGCTTCTAGCTGCCGTTCACCCCTCCCTCAGGTACATGCTGCACGCTCATCTGAGGACCGGCCCAGCACTTAAAAGGCCAGTTTCTTTCTTCTCCCCCCTCCCTCCCCTCCCGGCATCAGAAATTTACCAATTTCTACAGTTTTCTGGAGGCTTAAGTTCCGGATAGGGTTGTCAGATGGTTTCAACATAATACTGTACACACTTGACATTAAATCACAATCTACATTACATCTTATTTAGAAAATACCGGACATTTATATTTTCTCAATTTGTTTCCCAAACAGAAAGCTCAAATACTGGACTGACTGTCCAGTTCAAAACTGGACACCTGGCAACCCTAGTTACGGATAGCACAGGTTTTACTGTACCAAGACTCAAGACATAGGTTTTACTGTACCAAGAAGCACAATTCCTAATTATTTTGAAAAGAGAGTGCACATAGAGCATCAAGGCTATACATAAGTCACGCATTTGGTCTTGCAATCTCCTACTTTCATCAGTTCCTGAGTTCTGCCTCTCTCAACTATACTCCTAATTGGAAAACGCCACACTCCTAAGTTGTTTGTCTGTAGAGCATCATTCTACACACTGGCCACAGGCTACTGCACATGGAGACTTTTGTCTTAAATGTAATTTTTATCCAGTTACTCATCCACATGGAATAGCTCAAACATGCATAGGAGCTGTCTTCTGAGTTTCCATCCTAACAAGTGTGTAACTCATACAGGCCTCTTAACTATTCAGGTGCCACTGCTATAGTCAGCTCTTGTGTGGTTGTTGGGGTCAGACTTCTTTGTGCATTTAACCCATGTAGTTGATAGTTTCATATCAGCTACTTGTATCATTAGCGTATGTATTTGTGTATGTATATACAGTATGTATATATATCTATTTATGTGCATTTCATTACTACTTTTTTGCTATAACCCAAATTCTATTTTAATTGTAGGTGGTTGCTGAGGAAGCCTGGGAGAACCATTTAAAAAGAAATGATTCCATCATTGTAGATATATTTCATGGTCTTTTTAAATCCACTCTAGTTTGCCCTAAATGTGCTAAGATTTCTGTAACCTTTGATCCCTTTTGTTACTTGACACTTCCATTACCTATGAGAAAGGAACGCACTTTGGAAGTATATTTAGTTAGAATGGATCCACTTAATAAACCTATGCAGGTAAGAAATATTGTTGTTTAACACCACATTTTATGTAAAGTTTTTTCCTGTCTTCATGTTTTTAATACTTGAAAGAACAAGCATTAAATCTGACAGATTTGTTAGGATGGTATGCTGCTGCTTTTTTTTTTTTTTTTTAATGTTCATCTCAAAGGTTACAAATTAATGAGGAAACTTTGTAAAGGATACATTTTACTTTAACTCTAGTCAGTTTCAAGGAAGATATTGATAATTTATTTTACAATACTGTAACCTCCAACTTTCCGGTGTCCCTAATTGGGGAACACCCATGGTAACAGATCCTGGTAGGCGGAGGCAGAAGTGGCTCTGTACAATGTCACTATCCCTTCCCACCCCCAGCTAGGTGAACAGCAAAGCAGCAATGTGCTCTGCTGGAGGCTTTTCCCCACCTTTCACATAGTGGCAAGGGACGGTGCTTGGCAACAGCAGGGGATGCGTTGTGTAAGGTAAGTGCCCTTCCTGCATCCCCCTCACTCCTTCACTGGACCAATAAAATCTTTAATCCACCAAATCCTGCTTCCCAGGGTTCCGGAATAAAAAGGTTAAAGTGTACTATGTTGTTGTAAAGATTTCCTAACTTTATCCATGTTGTGCTCTTTATTATTATTGAGAGTTCCTTTCTAGTATTGTCAAACTACTTACAGTGCAAACATAAAGAAAAGTCCTTGCCCCAGGAATGTGAGTCTAAAATGACAAGTATCAAAAGTTTGGTGGAGTGGAATACAACTCACAAGTAAAATGAGATGTTCATACAGATTTTTATTTTTATTTAACATATAAACTGTGCCACCAACTTTCCAGTATTAGTCAACAAATATTTTGTAGTCATCACCTAAGGATATTCATAAAATATTTGAATGTGGAAAACATCGTCTTTTAACAAGCTCAAGAAGGAATTACATGCGTAAGGAGAGACTTGGAAGAAAGCACATAGACCGTTGTGAGAAAGATGTTAGCTGTGATTGAGGTAGAAAGGAGGCAAGTTACTCGGAGAGGAAGAGAAGGAGAAGTTACTCAGCTGAGTGACAGAGAAGATAGTTACATTTATAGTGATAGAAAATAGTGTACCTGTGTCTTATTAAAAGTTGGACTGGGCACCTCTTTGCATTTAGAAATTGTAAGGAAAAATACAAGATTCCTTCCTGTTCATTGGGTTCATGATTGTTGGGACTGTGTAGGCTGTGATTGAGTCTTGAACACGTGTTGGCTTGTGGCACACCCTCACTGGGTAGTTCTTGTCATCTTGTTCACAGCAGCAATCTCTGTCCAGTCTTCTCCTAGGTATCAACAGTGTCCGTGGGGTGCTGGTGAGGGTCTCATGCAGCTTTTTTGTAAAGGGGTAAAGTTTGTGGCTCAGCACCAGATTTATTGTTAGCTTACCTGGCCTTGCTATATGCCTGCCGTAGTTCCTTTGCTTTCATGCAGCACTGTTACTGGTCCCTTTCGTCCCCTTCTCCTGTATCCCCTGTGCAATCTTCTTGTGGATGTCCAAGTTTGTTTAACTGCTCTGTAGCTGTGCTTGCACAGCCTCTTCTTCTCACAGGATCAGGAGATCTAGTATCTCTTGTCTCTCTGGAAATGAGCATATCTGGTACATGGAGATGATGTCATCAGTTGGGCAGATGTACGCAAGGAAGAGCTGCTAGGTGTGCTTGTTGTGGTGGCAATCAGGAAAGGCATTTCAGAAATACACAGGAGTTATAAAGAGAGCTGTTTTCTGGTGTGACACCTCTGGGGCAGTGACATTGACAATTGTCATCAGAACAATCACTGTTGCAGGGAATTAGGGCATTGTTGAACAGCTGCTGTTAGTTGGCTTAAGTCATGCAGTGTTTGCTCTCACTCTGCATTGACCTTAGTAGGTCAACTAACATTAATGGTTTTCCCATAATAGAAGAACTAGAGGACACCACATGAAATTAATGGGTAGCAGGTTTAAAACTAATAAAAGAAAGTTCTTCTTCACACAGCGTGTAGTCAACCTGTGGAAGTCCTTGCCAGAGGAGGCTGTGAAGACTAGGACCATAACAGAGTTTACAGAGAAGCTAGATAATTTCATGGAGGTTAGATCCATAAAAGGTTATTAGCCAGGGGATAAAATGGTGTCAGAGGCTGGAGAAGGATGGCAGGAGACAAATCGCTTGATCATTGTCTTCGGTCCACCCCTTCTGGGGCACCTGGTACTGGCCACTGTTGGCAGACAGGCTACTGGGCTAGATGGACCTTTGGTCTGACCCAGTTCTTATGTTATGTTCTTATGTAGCTTCTGTTTGCCAAAAAGTGGGGAAAAAGAGATGGTATGGATCACCTGATTACCTGCTTTGTTCATTTCCTCTGGGACATCTGGCATTGACCACTGTTGCAAGAGAGGATACTGGGCCAGATGGATGTTTGGTCTGATCCAGTATAGCTGTTCTCGGCTGTGCAGCGAGATGTCACTGTGTCACCATAATGGGCTGCTTATGTTTGCCAGAGACAAATTTGAGGGTAGACTCATGCATAAATAGGTCAAGGCAAGGAGAGTTAGATTTAGCTAACATTGTGCAGACTATGCATGAGTCACTTTTGAAAATGGGATGCAGGTGTTTTGGAAAATTATTATCCTGAATTTAAATACATTTCACTTAGGGATGTAAGCAACCAGTCAACTATCTGATAAGCAAATTTAAAGATACACACTAAGGGTGTGGACATATGACAACTTTTCTCAGGAGGCTTCTGTCCTTTAAGAGTGACAAATTATCATATTTTGTTTTTTTAGTACAAAGTAGTTGTTCCAAAAATTGGGAATATATTGGACCTTTGCACAGCACTGTCAACTTTGTCTGGTGTTGCTGCAGATAAGGTAAGATTTTGCTGAGGTAATCATTTATACATAGCCCAATGTTAATGATTTTCAGTGTTTTAAAACCAATTTAAGAGTATCTTAATTTTTTGTTTCCTTTTAGATGATAGTTACTGATATATACAATCATAGGTTCCACAGAATATTTGCTATGGATGAAAATTTGAGTAGTATTATGGAACGTGATGACATCTATGTGTAAGTTCAAATAATATTCTGTTTGTCAAGAAATACTTTCATATTAAGTAAAAATTTGTGTAGAATTGGATTTAGCTTCATCTAAATAAATTAATTGCATAGAAGAAACATGCAATAAACAGAAGTACAGGCAGTCCCCGGGTTACATGGATCCGACTTACATTGGATCCCTACTTACAAATGGGGTGAGGCAACCCCGCACTAGCTGCTTCCCCCCAGCAGACCAGGGAGACGCGAAGCTAGTGTCCCCCCCGCCCAGCAGACCAGGGAGAGGTGGAGCGGCTTTTCTCAGCAGACACCTCAGCTTGAGAATAAAGCCTGAGGGAAGTGAGGTGTGGGAGAATAAAACTGAGCTCTGGAGAAATGTTTGGCTAGAGTTTCCCCTACAATATGTACCAGTTCCGACTTACATACAAATTCAACTTAAGAACAAACCTACAGTCCCTATCTTGTACGTAACCCGGGGACTGCCTGTATTGATTTTCTGTCAAGATTCTTCTAGATGACCTTTTTCTTTCCTGCTTTTCTTTTTTTAAGATTTGAAATCGCTCTCAACAGAACAGAGGATACTGAGCAAGTCGTAATTCCTGTTTGTCTAAGAGAAAAGTATAGACACACCAGTTACAGCCACCATAGTGGTTCTTCGCTTTTTGGTCAACCTTTTCTTATAACAGTGCCTAGAAACAATACTGAAGATAAACTGTATAACCTTCTGCTGTTGAGAATGTGGTAAGAATATTATGTGGGGGAAAAATTGTAATATGAACAACAGTAATAATCAGAGTTTGTAGATGGATTGTTTTTTTATATGCATTGCTAAGGAACTTTGATTAGACTTTTGGAGGCAATTATTTTACTTTGATTTTTGACAGAATTTACATCATCCAAAATGATGTGTCATCAGAAGAAGGAGAAGGGAAGGGAGAGGGGCTTGGGTGGGTTGGTTGGTTTTATGAAGAGAGGGGTGTTGATAATAGGAGGGAAGGGTGTTGGTTTCGTTTAATCATTGTAGCTAGGACTTGTCTAAATAGGAAGGTTTTGCCTATTGAACCAGAATAGTTAACTGATATAGCTCTTCCCTTGGATACTATTATTTTGAAATATGAATGCCCACAAAGGGGTTATATGATAGGTGAATGAGGTGATACGTTTTATTGAGTCAGCTTCTGCTTATGAGTGCACTCTTCTTTTGGTATAATTACATCTGTTTTAAATTCACATCTTACCTTATACTGGTATAACTTTCTCTTGTAGACATGTCCTTGTATTACTTGCAGAATAAATTTTCTAAATTTGACCAGTTATGTATACAAGTGTAGCTTGGATGCCAAATAAAACAGAAACTAATATAGAGCAAAGGAGATCACACAAAATAAAATAATTTCAGAAAAAAGGCAAGAAGAAAGATTCTGTGGAAACAATTTGTTGTAGCAATTGATGAGTTAACTTTTTTCATTTACTGTAACTTTTTTCATTTACTGCACTGCAGGAATACAGTCCATTGTAAGAGCAATTATAATAACTACAGTACAACTCCAGTGGTCCGGCACTCCTGATGGTCCGGCACCATCTGGAACCCGGAAGTGCTCCGGGCAGCCAGACAATTGGAGCTACTCTGTCCCCAGCTTCCCTGATTCAGCCGCTGCTGAAACTGACCAACGGCTGACTCGGGGAAGCCGGGGGCAGAGCAGCTAGGGTGCTGCCGGGTTGGTCCTGCAGCACCGAGGGGCGCATTTCCCCCCTCATAGCCACCCTTCCGATAGTCCGGCATATCTGATAATCTGGCACCCCCTAGGACCTAAAGGTGCCGGATTATCAGAAGTTTACTGTATGTATTTTCAGTGCTCTTATATTTTACATGCATATATTCATTGTAAGCAAACCCATTAGTATACATGCATTATTTTTCATTGTTTATTTTAGCCGTTATGTAAAAACATGTACTGAAAGTGAAGACACTGAAGGATCCCTACACTGCTGTAAGGACCATGGTATTAATGGGAATGGCCCAAATGGAATACATGAAGAAGGATCGCCAAGTAAGGCTTGAATAGTTACACTAGTTTAATATGAGTTCAGCATAATACCTTTCTGCTCCAATTACTGTAATTGCCCTTTTTCCTCTTTATTCTAACCCTCATCCACACACACACAACATTGTTGCAACCTTCTTTGCACCCAAAAATGGCCAAATGAATCTCCTCCCCTCCCTCATATCTTGAAAACTTAAGCCAAAGGAAGTGTTAAAAACTGATGTGAGGAGTGTTTATTGCAGTACATCCAGTTCTCACTCAGCCAGATTTGACTCTCCAGGGATCAAGACATCACATTGCTACTAGACCACCAGATTAGATTTATGTTTTAAAATTGGTGATTCTGAGGCTTAAAAGCGTTGACATTTAAACTTTTTTTTTTTGGATGGTGTAGGTAATTTAGGCTTCAAATTTACTGAATTTCGCAGGATGTTGTTTTTCTTCTAACTTTTAAAGCTACTGGTTCAATAAACAGTGATTGCAAGGAATTTAGCATAATTAGAGTGGCAGTGATTGTTGGTTAGGAATTAAACTCTTAAAATGTGTTGTCAGGTTTCCTTTTGCCAGTTGGAATCTTAACATACTCACAGACATCAAAAAAAGAAACTATTTATTTGTCACAAATATCTAGAGAGTATTTATGCGAACATTTCAATTTATATGCTGAAAGTATGAGGAAAGGAAAAAGAGTAGTGTATGAGAACACTGACTGAATGGCAAAACATTACAATAAAATTGAAGATGGCAATGGATGAGGATGGGGTTCTTTCCAGTTTCTAAGAAACTATCTTCAGTTGTGGCATAAGTGGTAGGAGACCAAATGAGGTACTTAACAGAAAATGGAAAAGGCCCAAAAGTCCTGTGGAGTATAATAAACATCTTACTCTTCAGTCTAAATCTTGCTGGTTCTCTTAATTTTAACAACAATTAAAAAGTGTACTAGCAGGGAAAATGAAGCACCTTAAAATGCTGCATAAACAGAATGCGTTGTCAGACTTATTGAATTGCTCCCTATTTTGTTAGGTGAAATGGAGACAGATGAACAAGATGATGAATCCAGCCAGGATCAGGAACTTCCTTCTGAGAATGAAAACAGCCAATCAGAAGACTCAGTTGGAGGAGACAATGATTCTGAAAATGGAATATGCACTGAGGAAACTTGCAAAGGACAACTGCTCACGGGACACAAAAAACGATTGTTTACATTCCAATTCAATAATTTAGGCAGTACTGACATCAACTATATCAAAGATGATACCAGACATATTAGATTTGATGATAGGCAACTTAGGCTTGATGGTAAGTCATTGGGGGATCGAGTTCTTTAAATGTGATCACGATGCTGTTTGTGTTTCTGGTACCACTTTCTTTGAACGGTTGTACCGTATGTGAGTAGGCTGTTTGTGTTTTCTTGCCAGTGCATACATATATGTATATGTGTGCTTATACGCGTTGAACCTCTCTAGTTCAGTACTCTCAGGTCCAGCAACATCCATGGTCCAGCATGATTTTAGTTATTTGGATGTGTACTTACCATGAGTGTGGCCAAGTTTCCTATGGTCCCATAAAGTTTGTTTACAGCCACCAGTCCTGGCTCTCAGTGTTATAATAGCAGTAGAAGTGTTGGTAATGCTACTAGACAATATTGACCGCCTGTAGTTTGGCAAAATCTCTGGTTTGGCACTGCTCAGGTCCCAAGGGTGCCGGACTAGAGAGATGCAACCTGTAGTCTGTCTTCAGGAAAATATGTATGGGTATGTCTACACTACCACCCTAGTTCTAACTAGGGTGGTAATGTAGGCAACTGGAGTTGCAAATGAAGCCCGGGATTTGAATTTCCCGGGCTTCTTTTGCATAAAGCCGGGCGCCGCCATTTTTAAATGTCCGCTAGTGCGGACTCCGTGCCGCGCGGCTACACGCGGCACGGACTAGGTAGTTCGGACTAGGCTTCCTAGTCTGAACTACCATTACTCCTCGTGAAACTACCTAGTCCGTGCCGCATGTAGCCACGCGGCACAGAGTCCGCACTAGCGGACATTTAAAAATGGCGGCACCCAGTGAGATGCAAATGAAGCCCGGGAAATTTAAATCCCGGTAGTGTAGACATGCCCCAAATAATTTGTGTTCAAGCCAAAGAACATTGTTGATCATGGCACTCACGCTATTGATTTTTTAGAAACACACAAGTTTCATACATTTTAATGAAACCAAATTTTGGATTATACCAAACAATTATTTTGGTTTATTATGATTAGTAGTTTGAACAAATTAAGCATATGCTTTCCGATAATAAAACATGTATTTTTGAGGGGAACATGTGTTTTCCTTCTTAGAAAGATCCTTTCTTGCTTTGGATTGGGATCCCGAAATGAAAAAAAGATACTTTGATGATAATGCAGCAGAGGTAAGCTATTTATTTTATGTTGAACATTTAGCAATCAAATATATAGTTTAATGCACTATTTATGTGAAGTGTAGATTTCCAGAAATATTTTAAGAAAAGAGTAGAGAGTTATACTACAGTTCGTAATAAACTTAATACTTTACCATAAAAGAAATGTAAAAAAACCCCTACCCTTATCTACCAATTTAGGTGATCTGAGGCTTACTAAAATTGTGAATCTTAATTATATTTGAACACATTCTGAGCAGTTTTCCATATTTAGGAGCATGTAGTTACTGTTCATAGTAAGATGATATCACTAAAATGAATTTTGTTTCATTTGTTCTCTTAACTCAAGAAATACTTCTCTTTAGGATTTTGAAAAACATGAAAGTGTGGAATATAAGCCTCCCAAAAAGCCCTTTGTGAAATTAAAAGATTGCATTGAGCTATTTACAACAAAGGAGAAACTAGGTGTTGAAGATCCATGGTAAGAGCAAAAATGAAATTTGATTTCCTGACTAGTTCTGTAGACAGTATGTTTCAAACTGTAGTAGACCATCGAGCACTTATTAGTGAGCTGCAGATTGGTCACGTGGAGCTTGCAGTCCTTATTTCCATCTGCTCAACTGCATGAAAACACAGCTAAAGATACACTAAATATTTTCTTCACTATGTAAGCAGTTGTTCTAATTGATACTGGGATGTTATGTGATTGCATATGGGAAGGAATACAGTCCATGCTATCATGAATAGGAGAAGATGCTGCTCTGCATTGTGAAAAATATTGAGAACAATTATTTAAAGATTTTTATGAAGTAACTAGAATGAGTATGGGTCTAGCTGAGATTGATTTTGATTCACTTTCCACTGGTATGAGAGATTATACTTCTTAGCAATGTTTCTGGAACTGATAGATTATAGACCCACTGGACTTTTTAAATGTGCCAGGTGAATGTATAAGTTGTAGTGTTTTTGAATTTTCAAACCAACCTATATATAATAAACTGTTGGTCTTCTACAAGCAGTTTCCATTGGAATCTCACGAGAGCCTCTTCACAGCACCAGATGTTCAAGGGGCTCTGCAGTTGGCCAACCATCCTAATTTCATTCTTCATTTCTGTAGCTAGCTTTACTCCGTAACCAGAGAACTTTTCTTTCACTTCCTCCCTCCCAGGTCTTCCATTAGTTAGCTCTTTGTTTTAGTCTGGATTGTGTTCAGGTATAGTTTCATTGTGCATTTTGAATCCCCAGGCAGACTCTATTCTAGAGAATCCTGCCCAATTTAGAAGATCCAAAGTGGAGAAAAAAAACATTTTTAAACAGTGTATTTGATCTCCACTTTCCTGGAATTGAGTATACATAATTGCTGCATCACCTGCCACATGTAAGGCCATTCTCCAATTTGTTGCTCAGCCTGTAAGGCTCAAACCAAGAAGGATAGGCCCTCTCTATTTTAGGACTTTCTCATAATGGAAAAGACATAAATGTCAGATCCTGGGAACAGTCCTTTGGTCGAGGTATGACCTGGTGCTACATAGAGACAAGTGTAGATTTTCATTGGACTTCAAGCAATCCAAAATGGGGAAAATAAGTTTTTAGTGCTGTGATCCTCAGCTTCATCTGGCTTAAGTTGGAACAAATCTCTAAAGGTATGTCTACACAGCAAAGTTATTTCGAAATAACAGCCGTTATTTCGACATAACTTTACCAGCATCTATACAGCCAAATAAGCAGCGCACTTTTTTCGAATTTGGTAAAACTCATTCCACGAGGAATAACTCCAAATTCGAAATAGCTATTTCAAAATAAGTTCTGTATAGACACTTATTTCGAAATAGGGAGCCTCCAGCCTTCCCAGGGTGCCCTGGTGGCCACTCTAACCTCAACCAAGAACACTCCACTTCCTCCCTCCCTCCCCGGAGCCCTTAAAGGGTTTGACTCTGGCCACAGTGCCTGTGCCAGCTCCAAGCCTGCCAGCCCAGAGCACCTGACCCGATGGCCCCAAAACATGAGCCAGCAAGCCACTGGCAGCCAGCCCTCCACTGCTCCCCAGGAGCAGTCTGTCAGCTCCCAGGAGCCTACCAGGGCCCGGAGAAGGCGGGCGTCTTCCTGGTCCAGGGTGGACATCATGGACCTTATTCAGTTTTGGGGGGATGCCCCCAATGTCCATGATCTCCACACTAGACAGAGGAACGTGGCCGTCTATGGCAGGATAGCTGCCAGCCTGGCCACCAAAGGCCACATGTGAACCCAGGAGCAGGTTCTCATGAAAATCAAGTTGGTCTGGCGAGACCCCCAACCCTGAGCTTTCCCTTCCCCCTTCCAGCTCCCTCCTTCCAGGTTTCCCCCTCCCCTCTTCCACCCTCTCTTCTCCCCTCTACCACCTCCTTTCCCCAGTCTCACCAGAGTTTCATTTCGCCCCCTCCCCACCCCACCAGTTTTGTTAAATAAAGAGAGTTTGTGTTCATGAAAATACATGTATTTTATTTGACATCAGGAAAGGGAGTTAGGGAGGGGTAAGCAGAAGGACGTGAGAGAAGAATGAGGCACAAGCCCCCAGTGGGGCAGACCAGGGAGGCTCTTAGTGCTCCTCAGGGTGGAAGCTCTCCTGCAGAGCCTCCTGCATATTGACAGCCTCCCCGATAGACCCCCCCCTTCTGCCCCAGAAGGCAGCCTGCAGAAAGTGCAGCCAGGCTCACAGCAGTGCAACCACGAGAAGCACCAGGGTGCCCTGGGGCAGCTCTGGCTCCATGTTGCAGAATGCTGTAGTGTCCCGAGTGAGGGAAACCAGAACACACAGAGACAAAATGCTTTGCTGTCCTTCATCAAGGTAGGCAAGCAAGCAGGAAAAGCTGAGAATGGGCTGTCCGAGGGGGTCCCTTTAAGCACAGGCCTCAGATAGCCTCAGGCAGGAACCACACAAAGTAACTCCTGACCTGATGCCCTGCCAGACCTGGTTCCGGCCGGCCTTAAATGCAATTCAGCGTCCACTCAGTGTGGATGCGCTATTTCGAAATGCATTTTGAGTGTAGACGCATTATTTCCAAATAGCTTATTTTGAATTTACTATTTCAAAATAACACTGTAGTGTAGACATACCCTAAGTCAAGTTTCAGAACTGCTCTGACAACAAAAAGTCAGTGCTGCGTTATCTGAATCTTAGTGCTGGGATAGTCTCGATTGATCAACTAGAGCTTTGTTGCTGTTTCCACATGAACGCAAACTAGTCAGTGCTGTCAGGGCAGATCTCAGAAAGCACTTGTATGTGGATCTCCTGGATTGATCATCAGACATCTTTATTTAATACTTTCCCAGTTTGGAGTCACTTCATCTTGCAGTTTAGATCACAAGACACTGATGACTGAAAGGGTCCAGAGTATCTTGTAGCAATCCAGGAAAAAATCGCATTGAATTGTTACACCTAGAAATGGAAAAGGGTTTCTCAGGGACAGCAGATTAGTGCAGCCCCCCATACAGTGCTGTGCTTAATCTATTATAGACTATTTAATATAGCTGAAGTTTCTTTTTCTCTTCATTAAATGCAAAGTTAAACTAAAATCTAGCATTTCAACAGAACACACTCCCATTGACTATTGCTGTGGTGTCCAACCAGTTCTGAAGCAGTAGCCACTACAGTGGCTACTGCTCTAGTGAACAAGACACACTCAACTGGCCAAATGTGGCTAGTGGCTAGCATGTTGGGTAGCACGGGACTGTTGTAAAGTTTTCAGACATCCCACTACATGGAAAAAGTGTCCTAATGGGAGATCTCAACTTAAATCTTAACATAGTTAAGCCTTTAGAAGCTTTGAGAGAGTCTACTTTATTCCATTAGTCACTATAGACTGTTTTCTTAATCAAAATTATAATTTCAAGAAGGTTGAGTAACTTGCAGACTTTGACTGATTCTTATTTTGTCATATTCTAGAGACACAAAGTTGTCAAGGTCATTGTTCATCCAAGATGCTTTTCTGTAAAAAGGGGGGCAGGTTCCATCTAATCCAGGTCATGTAATATCCTGGATTTCTTTTCAAAATTTCATTCTTAAAAGGGAAAAATAGATGCTTGTATCCTAGATGTTAACAGAGATTTTAGGTTTTTAATTGGCTAAAACTAAGATATCTAAGAAGACACCTGAACTTTCTTTTTACATTGCTCTCCAAAAGATATAAAAGTCATTTCCAATTAGAACCAATCTGGTGGTGTTGGGTTTTTTCTCTCTTACTTTTATTTAAGAAGGCTTGTATTTTTAATACGTATTAAAGGCACCCAGAAGATCTTAAAAAAAAAGTAAATTGCAGTTTGGCTTTGGTATCGACACCTGGCAGTCTTAGAGTTCAGACTTCTAGGGATAAAGCAGCATCATTGACTTGCCTCAGCCAAGATGCAATCATAGAAATATTCAGATCTCTTTTACTTGGAGTTTTCTTTATGCAGCACCATTTTCTTAACTTGTCACTTGATGCAGTGTTTGCTTTGGGAGGACAGTTCTGCAGTCCTTTCTAGTTAGAAGTCAGCCTGCCTTTCTAATAGCTGTATTGACATCAACAAATAGAAATAATCAGAGGCCACTCAAAAGAAAAGATTTTTTTTAATCTTACCTGCCCACCTTCCCTATTTCCTTAGATTTGTATTCTCTTACAAAATTCAGGAGAAGGAACCCAGGCAGCTAGGCTTCACACACAGTCTCTTCTTACCTCTCTCATAAATGTTCGCTGTTGTTAGTGAGAGCTTTTGTAATCCCAGTGGTCACTCTGTTTCTCGAATGCTCTAAGCTCAGTGGCAGTGGGGTAGGACCATGTTCCATGTGTGAATGGAAAAAGTGACAATTGAAGAACCACAATTACTGGTAAGTAATCTTTTTCTTTCCAAGTCTCACGGGGTAGGTGTCAGTTTGTATCTGCAAAAACAACAAGGAGTCCTGTGGCACCTTGCAGACTAACAGATTTACTTGGGCATAAACTTTTGTGGGTAAAAACCACTTCCTCAGATGCATTGGAGTAGCAGGGAGATTACGCACGCACGCGCGCGCATATACACACACACACAAAAGTATATCAAAAGAAGAGCATTATTTATCAAGTGTAGGACCAGTGTTCACAAGGTCAGTTCTGTCAGGGTGAGAGAGTCAATCTAAATCCTTATTCAGTCATAGTTTGATTGTGTTAAATTTGCTAACAGCTTGCTGAGATTTTCCATATTGTTTTGGCATCTCTTGAGTTCAGAAATACACAGTATGCCTCAGTGCAGAATGAAATATCTTTTCAATTTTACATTTTTTCTTTTAAGTTTATATTTCATATGTTGAAAATTAGTCTTGGAAGAGGCTAAGCATCCATAGCTCACTTTAATTTGAAGGGAGTTATCTTTTTGATTCAGCCCATTAAACAGTACACTGAAGATAAAGTATTTGAACGTCTGTAAGCCTATACACACATTCAGTGCCTGGCCTGGTTTATCTTTCTTATTAGTGATACACTTCAACACCTGCACTCTTCATGTCTAAAGTGACTCTCTTTCTTTTAGGTATTGTCCAACCTGTAAAGAACACCAGCAAGCAACCAAAAAGTTAGATTTGTGGTCACTGCCCCCAGTACTGGTAGTACATCTAAAGCGCTTTTCTTACAGCAGATATATGAGGGACAAACTGGATACACTGGTTGATTTTCCAATAAAGTAAGAAAAACTTTTGAATTGAAATGTTTAAATTTTAGCCTTCACATTTCTAACATGTCTAGCATTTAGAGATTAATTAAAACATCTATTTTATTTTACAGTTATATTGTATGGGTCCATGCTTAATTTGCAAAATTTACCAATCAAGTCAATATTACAGGAGGGGAAAGCAGCGCTCTTGAAAAAAAGACCTATAAAATGTAGTTGTGGGGAAGACTGACTAATATGAAACAAGTAAAATGTTCTGATAGCTGTGAAAAATAATTGTGTGGCATTGACTATGGACTCTGGAAGGAGGTCTTTAACTTTCACTGCTACAAGTTAATATTTAAGATACAGGCAGTTGGACAGAGTAGAAGTTATTAAGTGTTTGTTTGAACCTAACTTTGGTTTAAATGTTTTTTATTTAAATTTAAGAATAGAGAAGGGGAGAGGTGTGTATGTACAGCCTCTCAGCCCATTCTTGTTGTTGTAGACGAGAGAGAGGCCGTGTGCATTCCCAACATTTTTGTGTCTGTTGTGTTTTCCTGTGCACGAGGGTTTGTGTCACTAGTTAGCTCCTGTAGGATACTTTTCAAAATATAATGGCCTGAAGACAGCACTCAGTTGTTAACAGTTGTGTGATGGAGTGCAGTCACAGAAGACCCGTTGGGGGTGCTTCCTGGAGTGGTAACAAATCTACTGACACACACCTTCTTGCTCTCTGGGGCTTCTCACCACCCTGTCCTGCTGGACCAGCTCATCTGGTCTCCCCCAGCCAAGGCACAGAGCTGCGATCCCCACGCCCCAAAGAGCAGTACAGACACTGAAACTCTTCGGCTACATCTACACTGCCCAGTCTTGTGCAAGAACATATGCAAATGAGGCACGGCAATGAATATCGCCGGGGCTTTTTTGCATACTTAAAGAGCCGCCATTTTTGCGCAAGGGGCTTTTGTGCAAGAAGGAGCAGTTTACACTGCTCCTTTTTGCACAAAAACTTCCTCTTGCACAAGAGCCGTTCTGCCTGAAAATGTACAGCTCTTGCACAAGAGGGGGTTTTGCACAGAAAGGAGCACTGTAGACTGCTCCTTCTTGCAAGGCTCCTTCTTTGCCCCTTGCGCAAAAATGGCGGCTTTTTAGGTATGCAAAAAAGCCCCAGCGATATTCATTGCCATGCCTCATTTGCATATGTTCTTGCGCAAGACTGGGCAGTGTAGACGTAGCCTTCAGGTCTAAGGAAAATACAGTTTTGGGCTCAGCCTCCAGGGATACCACTCCCAGATGGGATCAGAACCCCAAATGAATTATTTAGGTAAGTCCGCTTTAACAATGAAAGGAGGATGTACATACTTATTGCTCCCCCCCAGGTAGCAATTATTTACACTGGCCTTGATAGTAAATAAAAGTGATTTTATTAGGTACAAGCAGTAGGATTGAAGTGGTTGTAAGTAAGAACAAAACACAGGACTATGCAGCACTTTAAAGACTAACAAGATGGTTTATTAGGTGATGAGCTTTCGTGGGCCAGATCCACTTCCTCAGATCAAATAGTGGAAGAAAATTGGCATGACCATATATACCAAAGGGATACAATCAAAAAAAGTGAACACATATAAAAAGGATAAATCAAATTTCAGAACAGAGGGGCGATGATGGGGGGAGGTTAATGTCTGTGAGCTAATTATTAGAGGTGATAATTGGGAAAGGTATCTTTGTAATGGGTAAGATAGGTAATTAGCATCTTTGTTGAGACCCAGTCGTAAAGTGTCAAATTTAAGCATGAATGACAGTTCAGAGGTTTCTCTTTGAAGTCTTGTGTTAAAATGTCTTTGAAACAAGAAGCAGGTAGTCAAGTGGTTGAGACAATGCCCTTTCTGGTTGAAATGGCAAGAAACTGTTTTTTTACTTGGGGATCTTTTTATTTGGTCTCTGATGTTTGAGGCCTTTGGCTGAACTTGGGGCCCATTTCCTAGCTTTTCTCCATAACCATATTGTAGCAAAAATGTATATTTTAGTATTGGTTATAAGACTGTAAGTATGATGTATAATGGTTTCATGTATATTGGCTTGCTTATAAGTTCTGGCTGCTTCTATTTACCCTGTCTCTCATGATTAGATAATAATAGAGATGTAGCTGTGTTAGTCTTATCTTGGTGAGAACAAAAACAGGACTACATAGTACTTTTAAAGACTAACAAGATGGTTTGTTGGTAAGAATCATCTTGAGGTTAGGTGGTTGTCTATAGGGCCGTGTCCAGACTCAGGGTTTTTTTCGGGAAAAGTAGCCTTTTCCCGAAAAAACTTCCCCTGCGTCCAGATTCAAGCCGCGTTCTTTCGAAATTATTTCGAAAGAACGCGGCTTTTCTTTCGATGGCGGTAAACCTCGTTTCACGAGGAAGAACGCCTTCCTTCGAAAGTTCCTCTTTCGAAAGAAGGCGTTCTTCAATGTAAAGAGGCCGTCTTCGAAAGAGAGCATCCAGACTCGCTGGGTACTCTCTTTCAAAAAAGCGGATTTCTCTTTCGAAAGATCCGCCTGCAGTCTATACGCGATCTTTTGAAAGAGGCTCTTTCGAAAGATGCTTTCGAAAGAGCCTCTTTCGAAAGAAGCCTGCAGTCTAGACATAGCCCAGGAGACTATGGGTCTGTCTCCCAGAGCCTCTTGTTCCAGTATAGGCTGTAGTTTATTGATAATGTGTTGGACGGGTTTAAGTTGGGGGCTATAGGTGATGTCAAGTGGTGTTTTATTGTTGGTTTTCTTGGGTCTGTCTTGAAGTAGATGGTTTCTGGGTATTCGTCTGGCTCTTTCAATTTGTTTTTTTATTTCTCCGGGTGGGTAATTGAGGTTTATAAATGCTTTGTAGAGATCCTGAAGTTTCTGGTCTCTGTCAGTGGGATTAGAACAGATGTGCTTGTATTGAAAGGCTTGGCTATAGATGATGGATCATATGGTGTGTTCTGGATGGGAGCTGAAGGCATGTAGGTAACTGTATGAGTCGGTGGGTTTTCTGTAGAGAGTGGTGTCTAATTTACCATTGGTGATTTGTACTGTGTAAGTGAGAACAGGCAGAGCAAAGTAGATTACAAATTTAAAATAACAAAAAATACTTAGCTAATTCTAACATACACTCAAACGTATTACTGATTATTCCAGCTAAGCCTCCAAATCAGAGAAGTCCCCTTTTCCCTGGGGTCTTCAGTTATCTTCCTGGGTGTGCCACACCAGCCAAAGACAGACCACTAGCTTCCCATTATTTTATAGATTCCAGTATCTTCCTGGGTGTGCCACACCAGCCAAAGACAGACCACTAGCTTCCCATTATTTTATAGATTCCAGTTTGGGTGGGAATTCTGTTTCTACATTCCACTGTTACATGAAAAATTACTAGGCCAGCCCCTTCCAGTTAGAGAGGTCACATGACTTCCTAGGGCTAACCATTGCTAAGATTTAAAGGACAAAAGGGCCTGTTTACAGGTAACCAGACTTTGAGGGAAACACTCTTGATGGCTTGCATTTGCACTTTTAAAACCATTCTATAATCCATATATCTAACTTTACATACAAGAATGATACACACGCCAGAATAAGATATTCAGATTCAGCGGATTATGACATTAAGATTGATAGGTTACATGAGATAATTAGTCCAAAGAATCTTTGAGTTATGCATACGTGTGTCCATAAGTCCATTTCATAAAGCATGTGAGGGGAGGGAGTGTCAGTCACAAGTTAGAAAAAACATTAACGTAATATGAGCTTTTCTTTAAACAGTGACTTGGATATGTCAGAGTTCCTTATTAATCCAAATGCAGGGCCTTGCCGCTATAATTTGATTGCTGTGTCCAACCACTACGGAGGAATGGGAGGAGGGCATTGTAAGTTAATTTTAACCACCATCATTTTACATAGTAACTTTCTGTTTGTGTTTTCTTTTGACTGTTTATTAGCACTACAATTGACTTTTATTAATCAGCTGTGGGTTTTTTTTTTAAATGGCCAAAGGGCAATTTTAAAATGTCATTTAATTCTATAACTTGAAGTATATACAGTAGTTGAATTCAAATATCTATTTGAGATGAGCTTTTGAGAATAATGTTTTGCACTTTGTATGGCTGAGTCTGTCATGAAAAAGCATGACAGGTGCTTTCTGTGGTACTGTAGTAATACTTCATTTTACCTTCCTGTACTGAGTTTTTATATGCAATTATGCCTCTCGTTATAAGGGAAGAGAGAAATGAAGAGGTGGATAAAAGCCTCTGAAAACCTTTATTGTGGCTGACTGCCCTTTCCTTTATAAATACTTTTGAAAAGTTGAAAGCTGATTTGGCACCGGGTTTTCTTGCTGTTATGGGGTGAAAAATACCTAAGTCTAGAATACTTGGGTCAACATAGTGAAAAAGAAAAGGGCTGGTTGGAAGTATTAATTAATCTAATAGCAATTATATAGTTATTGTTAGTAAGTTTATATTAGCTGTAATAAGATTCAAAAGTCATATGTTTCATGGGGGTCAGCTTGGATGCATTATATATTTATTCTGCTTAATTGCCAAAGTTTGTAGTTAATGTGTTTATTTTGGGTCTTAGACACTGCTTTTGCAAAAAATAAAGATGATGGAAAATGGTACTACTTTGATGACAGTAGTGTATCAACTGCATCTGAGGACCAAATAGTGGCAAGTATCCTTGTTTTTCTAAAATCACAGCTACTGGTTCTTATCTGGGAGGAAAAAAACAACCGTAACTCTTCAAAATCTGAAAACTAATTTTTAGTTAATAATTTAACTTTAGTTAAATTTAAGCCTTTTGATTTGTTTAAGATACAGTGCAGATAAAAAATCAGTTTTTGTTTACATTCCAAAAACCAGTTAATTTCAGCAAAAGTTTGCAGATTTATTATATTGTAAGTGTAGCAACAGCTTATCTACCTATATTAAGGTAAATGGTTCAAACTGTTGCTCAGCAGACTTTGCCCTGTTTATTAAATTATGGTAAAATCCCTGGAATTGAAATAAATTTGATTAGATTTTTCCTCTGGTGCTTTCTCCAGAGATAGGTTTCTTGAGTTCCATGAATCTTGTCCCTGTTTGAGTCACAGTAATTAGGATTTAATACAGTTACTAAATTCTAGATTCTTTATGAAAGTGTTAAAAGTCTTGACAGTTTTGAAGGTCTTAATTCACAATGTAAGTGACTTATATGCTAAATATTCTTAGTTAAAATCCCATTACAATGTAACCATAGACAACCCAGGAGGGGAGAAAATTGGCACTCTTTTATGCAGAGGGGTCATTTTAATGTGTCAAGGAACTGATTTTTGCATACTGTTCATTTCTGCCTTGCTTGGTAAATCTTCATTTGTTGACCTTGATTTAACATAGCGGATTGGGGAAATGTGATTATTTGTTTGTTGCTTTTTCCTGTTTAGATGAGTAATCTGTTACTAGCAATGTGACACTACAGTAGTTTGTCAGAGCAAACTGAAGTGTTATAAGGCACATGATTATACTGATAAATATGGCTTCCTTGTGGGGTGGAATTTAAGATAAATATAAACTTATTCAAATTTCCTCTCCTCCCCATCCAAAAAAATTGTACTGAGCTGTGAATGAATCTTTTTTCCTAGAAAATCCAACTCTCCCAATCTAAAATTATTACATACATAATAATGGAAGGTTAATAAGGTAGCCCTCAAAGTTAGAGACACAAGATGGATGAGATAGTATCTTTTATTAGAACAACTTCTGCTGAGGAGAGAGACAAGCTTTCAAGTTTACACGGAGCTCCTCTTCAGGCCTGAGAAACTAACTTGGGACAGGTCTACATTATGTAGACCTATATTGGTATATTGCTTAGTTTGAGAAATGCAGACTCTGCCACAAAGCACAGGTTGGACCTCTCTGGTCCAACATCCTTGGGACCTGAGCTTTCCCAAACCAGGGAATTTTTTCCACTCCTGGGCTCCTCTCCCTCAGGTTCCCTGCCCTGCTGTCGGCCCCATTAACGCTTGCCTGGCACAGGCTCTCCATCCTGCTGCCTGCACATTGCCTCAAAGTCTCCCAGAGTTCCTGGCCAGGACACCCTGGACACTGCCAGCCATGCTACCCATGCAGTGTTCTTCAGGGTTCCCGGGCAGGGGCCACCCAGCTGCCCCCAGTCCCACCGCCACTGGGAACTCCAGCTGGGGTCGTCCTGCCTATACCCTGCTTCAGCTGCAGGCCAGGGCTGCCCAATCCAGCCCTGCTGCCGCTGCACAGTGAGAGAAGTCCCTGGCCAGGCCACCTGCCACCAGAACCCCCGCTGCAGCTGGGATTCCCCAGCCGCCTGGCCCAGCTGATGCCAGGGGTTCCTTGGCTGGGGCAGGAGCTCCCCCAGCTGCCCACCTGGTCCAGCTGCTGTTGGCCCAGCCAGGGCTCCCCAGCCCTGCGTTCTCTCAGCTGGCTCTCGCTCCCACCTCCGGGGCTTTTTGGTCCAGCAACATCTGTTGCTTTGCCAGACCATGGATGTTAACGGAACAGAGGGTCTGGGATTTGGGATGTTCAACCTGTAGTTACATTGACCTCACATCCCTGGAGACATCACCCCCCACCTCTTTGGAAGGTGAATTAATTCTCTAATTGGCATAGTAGGATCATCACATTGTGAAAACAAGGCATCAAAGTGTTACAGCTAAATAGGAGATGGAATAGATTGTTTACTATAACGTGTATTTCAAGGGGCCATTCAAGATGAAGTGGCCTGTTAACACCATTCCAGTCATGGAAAGGGGAGGAAGGATTGGATTTGTTAATGGGTTAAAGATTATTGTAGTAATCTTTAGTCTATTCCGTCCATGAATTTTAGTGTCTAGCAATGTCATGAATTTAGTCTCCAAGGCTTGTCTTTTGAAAGTATTGTGCAGATTTCCTTTGAGGAGGGGTCTCGAACTCCTGGCCCACAGGCTATCCCTGGCTGACACAATCTAGAGTCAGGGCAGTAGAGGGCTGTCCCCTCCTGCCTTTCTCCCTTTCCCCCATGGCTCTGCTTCCCTGTGGCTCCTGCACCCTCCTGCAGGAGGGTGATGAACACTCCTACTGCCCCACACCAAGCCCTGCTCCCACTAATCTCCAGGCCGTGTTCCCCTAGGGGTGGGGGACCATATGAGGAGAGGGCAGAGCAGTGGTAGGAAAGGGCAGGACAGGTGCGCCTCCCTGGCCCACCAGGACTCCCGGGCCAGATTGTGCAACTGCTCCAGCTGGAGATAACACATGGCCTGGGAGTTTGAGACCCCTGCCTTTGAGGATGAGGACTGTTAGGTCAGATATGAAGTCACTGATCTGTGGCAGTGGAAGTAGGTTTTTATTATGATTTACATGCACCTAAAAGTTTAAAATATGTTCTGTTTGGTATATAATGTGTAACTTTCATATTGCTGTAGAGTTAAAGTGTACAGTGATGCCACACTGATTTCATTATTGAATTAGCATGGCTTGCATTTCAGATAAAAAAAATGCTTTGTTTAAATTATAACAAGCAGCAGCTGAGTGTTTCAGTATAATGTGTTTCTTGCTGAAATTGAGCTTTTTATTTTAAAGCCTATCCTGATACATACCTCAGAACAAACTCTTTTTAATTTAGTCACATCCCTTCATTCATTTACACGGGTATGTCTACACAGTGGGCTGTGGACTATAGCACCATAGTGTAGATGCTTCTTACATCAGCAAAAGGGGGATTTCCAGCGATATTGCTAATGTATCTCCCCGAGTACTCAGAAGCGCGGGACGCGGCTGCGGCTTTGCTCGCGGTGTCCCTGGTCTGCTGGAGACGGTCCCCAGCAGACCAGGGGCACCGCGAGCAAA